TCCAGATATTTTGACACATGAAGTTTGGTTTCTTTAGCAAATTTGGTTTATTATCACAAAGCATTTTCATTTAAAGGAGCATCTGTTCTATAGCACTGGTAGAGAATGTATTACATTAAAATCTGGCTCACATTACAATTATTATTGTCTACAATCTATAAAACCTTTCCTGATAAAGGTTGCAGATGATATAAATTGACTGAAGAGTGAATTGCAAAAATAAGTAGCTATCACAAGAAGATGTGTGTGTGTCTTTCAACATCCAACAGTATGTTTTTGTTATCTTACAAATAAGGTATGACTGCAGCATACGTAGCGGAGCCAAGAATGCCAGTGAGACCATCTTGAAAATGGTGATGTGGAAAGGAAACTGTCTGAGATTATCCATATAACTTCTAAAGTATTTGCAGTTTTATGTAGATAGCACTTGTGAGTATATAAAAAAGGTCTATTTTGAAGGAGTGGGGTGATGATCTCTGAGTTTCATTGATAAGACATCTGCTAGAGTTGTGTATAAAGCTATGGTATTAATGTTTCAAAGAGGAAATAGATTTAGCCAAAATTTAAGAGGATCACAAAAGGTGATCCGTGGGCTGAGGAAGAGTCTTGCAGTGTAAGGTTTAGGAGTTGAATTTGTTCCGTGAATTGGAGAGAAGGCTGAGAAGTGACCTATTAGTGAAGTGTGAAAGAGAGGCAGAATATTTCAGCCTTGCTGACGAAAGTATGACAAGTTCAAGTGGCTGGAAGGAAACAACTTGTAAAGTAGTGTAAAGCAAGGGAATAGAGATCTGAATTTCTGCTCCTCTATACAAAACTGCATCTGAACAAACCTCTTAGAAAAACATTCAGTCTCTACTTAAATGTCCCCTGCTCTTCTGTGTGTTTTAAGAATTATAGTTCATAATAAAGCTAAGATCTTTATTCCCTTGCTTTATGTGACTCATAAAAACAGGTCCAGGAAGGACCTTAGGAGGCCCTCCGGTATGTTTCCTTGCATCAGGTCTGCACATTATGTGCTAGGACAGTGATTGCACTGAAATACTAAGATTCAGAGCTTGTGCTGATCATTTATGGATCAGGAAGTCCATCTTTCTTACACCGTATAATTTGGCTTCTAAATCTTTTCACTTTCCTTTATGGAGACTGACCGCTTCAGGAAATATAGTACTGAACACAGTTGGTCTGTACCTTAAGGTGCTACAGGGATTCATCTTTTTGTTTTCCCAGTACAGTTTCCTTGCAAACTGTATCATGTAATGACTGGATTTCTGGCTGGGAAAACTTTTTCCCAAAGTCAAATTAGCATCTTTTCCTGTAGTATAGGGTACAGGATGTCACCAGCTGGAATTACTTAGGTACTTCTCACCTAAGTGATTTCCTGCCCTGTCCTTGGATCAGGGATGATGATAGCACCTTACTAGTCTCTTCACTTCTTGTAGCACTCAGTTTAATTTTCAAGGGTTGAGGCATTTGGCCTAGTTAAGTCTTGAAACTCGGCATAAGCATAGCTAGGTGAAATGTAATGGCTGTGATAGAAAGGAGGTCATGCTAAATGACCTAATGTCTTTTTACATAAACCTCCAATCATATGCATCATTCCCAGATACTTCAAGGTTCCAGGAGATTCACTCGAATTCTAATGCAGAATTGGTAACATAATCCATTAACCTGGAGTCACTGATACCTTCCAGGTAGTATATAACAGTATAAATATATAATGATAACTTAAAATAAAAAATATTACTCTTTACAACATAAGCTGAAGAAATAGTGCTAACCTCAATTGTATACATTAGATATTTTTGCTTAGGATGTGTTCAAGCCCTTAATTCCGCAGCTTAGCAATTATCACCCAGTAATCACAGGTCTGAGAATGACTATTGCACTGCATCTAACGTATCTTTAAAATCAGTGTCGTCTATTTCTTTTTTTCCCTCGTGGTGTCACTATAGGATAAAGTTAATGTTCTTTGGGTGTCCTCTATATTGAAGCATATTTGGATTTCCCTTAAGTGTCACTCTGAATTTCTGAGGTTTCTAATATATTTTTATAGGAGGTGACATCAAATGCATTGCCTTGAAATTCAAACCTATTCTCTCAGTCATTAACTCATCTTGAACACTGTGTAGCAATTTTCTATTTTCTTTTTTAAAAGGATTTAAAATTAGCATAAATTTAGCTTTGGATAAGGATCTAGAGAATTTGGGCAGTTCTTATAATAACTTAAAGGTAGAAATTGTCACATCTCAAAAAAAAGATCCACAATGAAAAAAATATATACCTTATAACTATATGTGCTTATGATGTTAAATCTATGATGTATTTTCCATGTAAGAGGAGGAAGGCTAAGGCCATCCGTCATTTTTACCTGCTGAAGCTTTACTTTTTCTTATGTGATCCCGAAGTGTTTTGAATTCACCTTCACTGATTGTTAGAAAAAGTAGCTGATCTTGTCCAAGCTCTTGGCAGTAAGAATAAAGAATGTTTCATTTACATGTTGATAGCAGTTTTGTCTGTCTAGTTCTTCCCATTTTACCCAAACCACATTCTCAAAGATACCTAGGTACCTGACTTCCATGGATCTCTGTGAGAGTGAAAGATATGGTAGTAGTGAATGCATATATATATAAGCTAAGACTGAAGAGAAATTTGCTTGTGGTACTGTACAGGTGAGGGAGCCAATCATGAAGCTGCTCTAGGTTCTAATTCATGCATTTTGGGTGCATCATAGACCTTTTCTCTGATTTCTCTCTTCTGCTTCTTCAGCTAGATAGCAGTGGTTGGCTGCATTCAGGATTGTAATGAGGATAAGCATGGCTGTCTCATCAATGTTTCAAGCTAGGTGGAGTCCCTTTTTCTTCTGCTCTCTCTAACTGGTCCTTTACTTGATATAAAGGATATCTTTCAGCTAAGTGCCCCAATTTAAGTATTGTCTCTAACCCATATGCCATGTCTTTCACTTACGTGCTTGTAACAGCCACATGGTTCCTGTGTAGAGTCAAATTGCTCTGTGGGCTGGTAGTTTGGAGACAGCTGAAATTACTATTTCTAGATCGTTGTCTCGATGATATCTCAGAGGTCACCCCCCAGTGAAGTGTGAAGTAGGATAGCGGAACAGAAATCATTGAAAGAAATCTAGGACAAAATTAGATACGAGTTCAATACCTGTCATTAACTGCCTGTTCTAGTCTAGAATGGAAGACATTAAAAAGAAACATAGTTGGACATGGAAGTTTATTATTTGTCTGGTATTCTGCTTTCTTTCCAAAGGACTGACACAACCCTCTTATGACCTTCTCATTCCCTTCGCAATGGTCACTATCTTGTGGCTATGCCAGTTTTTGACATTGAGTTGTTGCAGTGAAACCGCATGTATAACATTGCGGTTCTGCAGGAGCAAGCAGCCTGTCATATGGTTATTGGCAGAACACCAGAACCAGATATGTTGAGCATCTGCTTCTGCCACCTGTTAGCAGTAGCTCCTCTGGCTTTGAATAGACGCCAGACCAGGTTGGTGTAGACACCATTTCTGGTCTCAAATGCAATATCTACTTTAGAAAACCCTCTAGCTCCGCAGTACAGAGCTTCCCCCTGGTTTCCTCAGTTGTTCCAGACTTGAAGCCTTCTTCCAACAGCTGTTTTCCCTTGCATCTTAGAGACATCACTACCCAAATGATTCTCAAAATCCTGTGTCACCCATACTTACCTTACTTTGATTCCAGTTTCCCTGTCTTCTAGTGTCAAATGCAATCTATCTCCATACCATCTTTCTTCTTTTGCCAGTTCCTATCCCATAAGGCAATTGTTGTAATTAACTCCTGTTTTCACAACATCCAGATACTCCAGTTTCTTCACATGCTCTCCCTGACTACCTCTATTTCCCTCTTACTTTGAGCAGAAGAGATCAAGAATAGCAATTTCCTCACTTCCTGATCTTCTGGAGGTGGATGGTTTGCTCCCTACTTTCACTATTAAGCAGACCATTGTCCTCTTATTCCTTACACTTTTACTAGGAACTTTAAAGGTAAATCAGCTGTTTTCCCTGGCCAGAAAGGACTAAAGCTCAGGTGGTAACTGATTTTAGCAGGTTTGTGTCTTGTGCTCGGAGAATTCTCCTTGGATCTGAAGAAAGAAATGTCAAACCATTGTCCCATGACAGAGGGCACCCCAGAGATTTGCCTCCAACTGGCTATGCTAACATCGGTTAGTGAGGAATAAAGGGAGATATTTCCCCCCCAAAATCCCAGGTTTCTTCAACAGGGGAATACCTTACACCTGTTTTATCTTATCTCTCCTTCCCATGTAGTGTTATGTCTGCTGTGAAGGCTTCAAAGATTCACTGACTCACTGTGTCCCAAACTTTTTCTCTTCCCTTTACCCTCATTCCCTGCCCTACCCGTCTTTCAGCAGTCCTGCAGTCTCTTTTGCCCTTGCATCTCTACCAAAAAAGTTCACCTGCTTACTGTGCCACCTTACCTGTTTGCCATCTCTTCAATGAACCTGGATTAAATTCTTCCTGTAAGCCACCAAGCCTTCCTGTAAGCCACCAAGTCTTCCTGTTGTTCCACCCCTTTTACTTGTGTCTATTGAGCTCTATGACAACCCGTCTCATCCTTTAATTGTAGGCATCATTCAGCTGCATAAGAGGTGTCCCAGTCCTATAGCCTAAAAATCTGGCCACTTGGCACTTAGTGAACGTGTTTTAGCATAACTCCTTGCGTGACTCTTACAGGGTGAGATCAAATATGGAAAGTCAGCAGTTTGGGAGTGCACTGAAGGACTAGTTAACTAAGGACTTTGAAGTATGAATCTTACCATCCGTAAACAAAATCTGTATTCTAAAATAAAAAGCATCTCCACAGCAGTGCCCGGATTTGTGTGGGACAAGATCCAAATCGCAGAGGAACTGGGCGGGAGCTGCGTCCTTCATTGATTTCAGTGTCCTTTGGATCAGGCCCCTTATTTCCTCCAGCAATGAAAAATGATGCGCAAAGCATGGGGACTGTACAACTTCATTTTATTTTGTGTGCTTTTATAGGATATAAATAAATGACAAAATTACAAAATTTATAACTGGAAGCCCAAGCATATTTACATAAGTATTTGTTGCAGTGAGGCTACTATTTACTGTTCTCCTATACAGTTTTCCTTTTGGTACCATATTTTTAGTGTTATTTTTTACTGTCAGTTGAGTACGTACATATCAACAGTGAATAGGCAAAATATGTACAAGGAACTATTTTGTTCAAGTAAATTGAATACTGTATTAAAAGTATGTCATCACTCAGCGCTATAATTAGGTTTAACTAAACCATATACAATTATCGGGTTTAAACCAAGTTCAGTTATCTGTTTTTGGAATTCACCAGCTGATGATTCTGATTGAAAACCTCAGCTGGATATGAAATAATAATTAAAAAAACATTAAGACAACCACACAATTTATCAATATCTCTATAATGAACTTCAAAATGATTCACAATTTGACTGGATAGAACAATATACGTTAAAATGTCATTTTTCTCCTATAGTGATATTTGTACTGTTATAATTTCAGTTCTACATAAATATACATCATGGTATTATACAAATACTCCACAGACATTAAAAAAATTAAAATACTTTAAAGAAAATGTAAGTAAATCTTATTTAATCAAATATTAAGCAAATGCTTAAGTATTTTGTTTCATGAAAACATTTTTATTACTTTGGAATTTTTTTCTTTTTCTTGCTTTTTTTACTTAGAAAATGTTTTGCAGTAGAATTTTATCAACACTCTTCCAAACAAGTTTTCTGTGACAGAAATCTTGATAGCAAAATTTATAGTTTTGATTTTTTTCTTTTTAGAACCACTGAGATTATTTTTAAAAATTCTAGTACATTTCATGGCTATAGCAATGTTGAACTGCATAAATTCTACGTAGGTGTAGCAGAATGACCATTCTACTTTCATTCCAGACTGATCACATGAAACATCCAGTGCACTGATGCTACAACTTTTCTAATTTTCATAATGCTGCAATAGCAGTGGTTTAATTAACTTTAAAATAAACAATATTTTTCATAATTAATCTGGCTTCCTTTCCATAAATATTCCTATGTTTTCCTATAGTACTTCTCTTCCATAAAAATATCTAATAAAAGACGTTCTCTGTGCATTATTAATACCCTTTTATAACCATTCATAAAACTCTGATCCTTTGTCACAATGTAAGAGGCTTCTATTTCTGTAGAGGCTCAAAGGACACCAATGCTTACATATAAAACCAGCGCACATAGAAATCAGGGTACCTAATTTCTTGTCACGTTAATGAGTTCTTTATTCAATACAGTGGTTGTTAATGAATTCAGTGGTTTCACAAATACTAGTATTTATTCATTCTGGTTCTATTTCAATTAAAAACTGCCAAGATTTAAATAAAAAACCAATCAAATATTCTACTCATAGGCAGCATCAATGTTAGTTTAGAGACCTTTTGTTTTTTAAAAAGCAGAATTCTAAAGTAAGAAACCAAAGAAAGCACTGTGGCCGAGTCACAAGGGAGAACTGCATGAAAAATAATTTTTCTCACTCCTCTTGTAGACTGTAATTTTAAAAGTCTTCATATAGTGTCATTCTTCTGTCAGTGCTGCAGGAAGAAGAACATCACCAGAAATGACTACCAGCCTTTTTTGTTAGTTACAAGGCCACTCGTATGGTGCAGTCTTCCTCTCTGCTGGATTGAAACTTTGCCATAAAGGAAAGGCTGTGCTGTGACTGCTTGGAGTGCAAGGCACAACAAGGAACAGGGGGTCCTTTTTGTATCAGAAAATCGTAGTTTCATACTTGGTATTAATGCCTCTTTTGGCTTCTTGTCCAGGTTCAACAATCCATGGTAGATTCGCAAGAGTCTTTTGTTCAGATGGATCTATCTGCTTTAAAGCAAAGGCAAACAGGCAGGTTACCATTTCTGTGCACAGCACTTCTAGAAGGTTTTTTTTCTTTAAACAAATTAACAGAATACAGAACAAACCTTGTATCAATAGAGTCCCTTTTTAAAATCTCCAGCAGTCAGTGCAGTGGTCTGCACTCCTGTGTACCGGTACTAGGGTTGCCCTCTTTCTGCTGTTTAGATCAGAGCTGTGTCTACTCCCCAAACTATAGGGCATCATAGTTAAAACTGTGTTTAAAGTTAACTTGGCTCCTGAGAAGTGCTTTTCATGCGGAGACAGATGATGGCATCAGTAGTCAGGAAATGCTCTTTCTTAAAATTTTAAGTATGAAGATTCTGGGAGGGAATGGATTACACAGTGTAATCATACGTTTTTTTTTTCCCCTTCCTCTCATCCAATAATTAAGTATCACATAATATGATTTTCATTTTATATCCAGTGATTATGATACAACTTGCAGTCACTTTTCCCCTTTACCTCCAAAATCACACTGTGCCTATATTCTTGTTTGATGTAAAACAGTTTTCATAATCTTTTGAAAAGTGCTACCACAAGATAGTATTTCTCTGTAATTTATGCACTTCAGGGTAGCATTTTAAATTAAGGCAATTAATGTATTGGCTCCCACAACCTAGGAAAATTGGGAGCAAAGAAAATTTTCCCAAAGAAAATTTTGAACAGGTAGGTTGAATCTCAGAGAAAGGACAATTTTGAAATAGGAGTGTCTGCTGAAGGTCAAAAGAATAAAAAAGGCAAGAAAAGTCGGTCGGTGAGACAAGACGATTATTGTAAATTGATTTGGATTTGTGATTTGACTAGGATTCATAGTTTGGCAATCTTATCTAAACGAAACTTCAGAATTTGTAAGATACTGCTTTGCATATGCACTGATCGTGTACCAGAGCAATTAGAAGGCTTTTTAGGATTGCAGTCTCTGTACTTAGCTGTTTTTTAAATCTAATTACCAACTGGAGATATTTATGATAAGAATTCACGTATCAAAGCTAAGCATAAGATTTTCAGAAATAACTTCGTACATGAATTAATGCATAAGCGTGGTGCTGATTTTATTTATTGATTCAATTTCGGGGAAGTCAATGGAACTGAACAGTTTTAGAAGTAGGCACTGACTGTGATCCTCAGCACTTAAAAAGCATAATGCATTGGAATTAGACTAAATCCATGAAAGCTCTGCAATAACTATAAAAGACATGCATGATACTAGCCAGGCAACTTCTTAAACTGAAAGAGTCTGAAATGAGCAGACTTCCAGATGGTTAACTGTGCTGCAGTGATACAACTCTGTCAACTTTGCGGTGATAGGCAGAGGTGGCACAGCTGAGACACGGACCATTTCTGACTGAATAGTTATATTAATTTATACAACTCTACATATACAAACTCTTACTGTGTAGCTGAATTTCAGTTTTTTTGCATGAACCACTACTTTCTACTTACCACAGACTTCCGAATACTAACACGTGGTTTTGGAATAGGTTTGGACGGCTTATTTTCAAAGCTTTCTGGAAGGGTTGAAGAATGGCCCCCTTTTCGTGCTTGTAGCGCCAGCTGATAGGCCACCTCAAATGCTTGTCCTAGTGTAAGAATGATTTCATATGCTAAATTCTGGAGAAAAAAAAAACAATAACATTTAAAATTGACGTTAAGTGGAATTAATGTGCGGTAGTACTGCCTGTAGCAGTGATTTGTAATGTAAGTAAATAAAAACACACCAGTGGTAACTTGCTAAGTGTCTACAAAGTTTGACATCTGTCACTTGATTTCTTATTGATCAAGGGCAATCTAAATGTAATTTATTGTAGTGAAAATAATTACTGTTGAAGATAGCAAAAACATTGTCTCGCTAAACATGAAAACAGTAGTGGGTGGATGTCATCTCTTTTTAGAATATGTGCATTAATCCCCCACACCCCCCAGCTATGTATCCTCTTCTCTGGGCGTACTTACACTATTGCATGTATTTGACATTTCACCAAGCTTTATTTCAGACCTGCTCTGGGGCTGACCTGTCCTCCTTCGGAGCAGGCAGTCTGATGCGCTGCTTCCTGACCCGTGTGCTTCAGAGCACTCTGTGCTGTATTGACACCGAGCAGCAAAGGAAATGGATTGCTCTGCAGCCTCAGCGTGACATTTCCAAAAGACAAAAGGCAAACGTCGGAAGCGCGTGCTCCACTTTGTGGATGCACTGCACCTATGCATGAATGAAAGTGGATGCTCCACTTTCTCACAGTTTTATTTTTTAGAATTAAAAAAGATTGAGCTTAAACTGGCATGTCAGAGTATTCTTGTAAGCTTGAGGAGTTCATGTATATTTCTATAGAAGTCAGGTTCTTCACGAATAAGACCAGTCTGGTGGTCTTAAGAATACTTTAAGTTCTTACTGGATGTGTGGAGAAGAATCTGTTGAAAGGTTTACAAAACATGAATGAGGAACCAGAGAGTCACCATGAATGCTTTTTCAGTGCAGTTTAACATCTACTAAAAAGCCGCTGTGAGTTTCCAGTTTGACCAAAATCCAAATCTGAAGTGAAATTCTATGGTAATTTTTTCCAGATTTGGGGTTTTGTTTTAGTATTTTTATTTGTAGGCTTCTACAAACTTTCTAATAAGATTTCAAACCCCTGCAGAGCAAATGGATGCCTTCAAGCTTGCTTGCTTTGTTGTGTCCTGCAGTTTCCCTAGAGTAATTCATAAATGTCTTAGATGGAAATTACAAGTTAGCCCCTCCTTCCGATCCTCTGTAGACCACAGAGTGGAAGCCATTGTGTATTATTTTGAAACTATGTGAAACTCTTAAAATTCTCACATGTTCTTGATATAATTTAGTATGCAACAGTTTTAAAGCGAAATATCTTTTTAGCTAGTCAAGTGTAAGTGTTGAGTTTGCAACAAGCCAGAAAGCTATGCCAGACACACAGAACTATAGCACCACCCTTTAGTAGTTAAATCCAGTTAAAAGGATAAGTATCTTATTTCATGCCATACACTACAGTTTCACTGTAGTCATGAAGCAATTCCATCCCTTTGTTATCACACATGTATGCTTAGAAAACGTAGGCTAGATTCAGCAAATTTAGCTCATTATAAAAGCTTCCTTATTACGAAGGTGCCAACTTTGGTCTTTGTTAGGTCAGAGAGAAAAACAACTATACTTCTCCACTAGGACATGCTCAGCTGTTATGACTGCATTCACGACAGTAAGCTACCCAAAGTTTCATAGCTTTCCAAACGAAAATGTCTGCCTGATTTGATAGCAATAGTCTCCAAATTGTCTCCCCTTTAATTTGAGGAAACTGTCCAGGATTGGGAAACACTGAGAATGCAGTTTGCCAGCGGAGTCATAAATGAAAGGCTAAAGAGCCTATTATGATAAAGTGGTCTGCCTTTTAGCAAAACACTGGTCATGGAATTAAGAACAATTCAGTATAATCATTAAAAATGTACAAAATAGTATTGTTTGAAATGGAGCGTACATATTAATAGCACAAGAATATTACTCTAGAGACATCTTAATCTGCTGTCACAACAATAAGCACTGTAGCACCATGCCATTATCTACAATGGATACTATTATTGATAAGGAACACATCAACAGGGCAGCCACTGTAATAGCGGCTTGGATAAAAAGCAGATTGTAATACTAGCGGGATTGAGAGAAAGCACCATTCAGTGTGGCATACGAAAAGGTCACTGGCAGACAGGCCTGAAAAATTCTGAGTTGAGTGTAGAAAAAAGCAAAGAGTTTGCCATACAAAGACATAAGTAATGCAGCTTCCCTCCTGTTAGAAGTTACTATGATTTGTTTTCTTGTGCAGTCTGTAAAAGGAAAAAAATAGTCATGTCTGGAGCCTAATGACCACTGGAAACATATAAATGTTTCTGTGGTTAATTCTGAAATATAACATATTCTAAATGTAAACCTAAACAGAATTTGTACATAAACTTCATACATTAGGAACCGTTGTAGGACCTTGAAGATGTCAAGTGTGCAAACAGAGGTTAGGGAACCTTTAAAATGGTTTCTTTTGAAATGTAAAACAGGTATCTACAACACTGTATTTGAAAAAAAGAGAAGCAAGTAAGTTTGTTTTGAGGGATTTCTCATGTACAGTACTAGGGTAGGAATATGAAGATTAGGTTTGTATGGTTTGTTATCAGGGTGTACTGGAGAGGTAAAAGTGGGATGCTATTGGGCTTTGGGGAGGAAAAAAACCCACAAAAACCATACTGGAAATTCTTCTGATGCTCTGAGGAGAATATTTGCATTTTACATAGGACACAAAAAGGAGGAGAGAAACAAGTTTGTCTCCCGGAGAGAGGTGCAGCACAAAATTTGTAGATGGCCTAATAATTGTGGAAGACATTCAGCCCTATAGCACTCCTTCAAGGTCTTTGGAAAGGCAGCAGAGCTGCTAGAACCGTGGTGCTTCCCAGCGCTGCTACAGTCCTGTCCCTCCCCTCGGCACGGTGGAGAGCAAAAGGGAGTAAGCTAACTCCTACAAGCAACAATTTCTGTGGCGTGAGAAATTGAGGTCAATTGCCTTATTTGCAATGTAATGTTACAATTCAGCATCTCAGTGCCAGTCTGAGTCAGTATTCTTCTGCCACTTTAATTCAGTTAGTCTACAACAAGGGCTAATGGTTTTGTTACATTTTAACTGATTTTTTTTTTTTTGCTGCATAAGTTGCTAGTGTAGGCACTGCTTTCTTCATTATATTTTCATGCTTCTATAAGGCTATGTTGAAGCTTCAAGAATATTTTAAGACAGAGGATAAGACTGCTAATTTTTGTCTTTCATCTATAAAAACCAAAATGTCACTTGAGAAAGATTTTTTGGGAAAGCTAACATTTTGTCTCTTTTAAAATGTGCCTTGGATATAATAAGGCCTGTACAGGTTTCTGCTTTTATTTAATGATTTCTTTTTCCTTTAAGATCCATGTCAAATGCAGTCTTTTCTGAAGGCTGAATTTACTGAAGATGCTTCCTTTGGGGACTCACAGATGATTAGTATGAGCCACATCTGATGTGCAGGAATGTCAGTTAGGTCTCCCTGTGTTCAAGGTACTGAACTTAAAATCCCTGTTGGAAAAATCAAGCAGGACAGAGTAGATGGAATCTTAACTTGAAAAATCTAAAAATCCTACCCCAGTCCAAAATTCCCATCCCCTGGGACACAATCATTTTCCTAATTCTTACTGGCTGGTAATAGAGTCTTCAAGGCCAAATAATGAGAACTTCTACTACAGAGCTCTAACAGGAATGACAGGTTACTTACCATTCACCGGAGTTCTTTGAGCTGCATAGCTAACATACGTATACATTTACACAGCATGTGCGTTCTCTCTCCAGACCAGAAAACTTTTTTTTTTTTGGATCTGGAAAGAACATGCATTTGGCTGCCCTCTCTCTAATGTGTTAGCTTTTGGGCATTCAAGAGGAAGAAAGATGTATGAAGAGATCGTGTCTGTGATTTGCTCGTGACAGCTCTGAACTCCTGGGTTGCATGAGACTTTCATGAACAAACTTAGGTTCCTGAGCCATTCTCAATCTGGACTTACAACAGCGGCAGATGGCATACTTCTCTGAATCCATTCCTGTCTTCGAATGTGGCACAGAAAGCTATTTTCTGTGCAACAGGAGGACAGAATCAAGCCTTCAGAGTGGGCCTTTCAAGTCCCTGAAAAAGCCATTGATGGAGATTAGACATACGAAAAGGGGCCATTCGCCCGTGAGCTGACAGTTCCCTGCAGCTGAGTGTGCTCCATCTCAAGGAGGTTGCTGGGGCGAACTGTGTGCTCTACCTTATACGCCCTGGAGACGGCAGTGTCTGAGCATGCTCTCTGTGGGTACTGCAAGGAAAAAAAGTTCTCTCTTCTGGGGTGGTGGGAATGCCACACTGACACTACCTCGATGACCATATGAAGAGAGAAGAGTTTTCAACAATTTTTTTCTTAAAGTCAGTTCCCTAATCTACTAGAAGAAGGCAATAAAAAGGAGTTTTCAGACCTGAAGGCATTTACATTTTCTTCTCTGTTAAATAAGGACAGTAGCAGTTCCTAATTCTCTTATCCAGCACAAATCTGTGCAATGACAGACAGAAGGATACAGAGAAGAAGGAAAGTCTTTATCTTATACAGATCAGCAGTCTAATCCTTGACATGAACAAGAGCAGAAATCGTTCCATTTTATGCCAGCTGAGTTCTATTCATAGGTGTGTTGAGCAATGAGGGAATACTTGATCAAAATTACTGTGGACGTCTCCCATATGTGAATCGGAGTTTGGTATAGGAACTGTTAGGATAGTTTGTTTATCCAGAGGAAGTCCTTCACTGGCAGTTTTAGGTCTGCTTTGCATAAGTGAATGGAGTAAAGTGGATTTCAAATATTAATCGATAAATCCTTGTTTTCCTCCAAACCTCCTCCTCTTAAAAATTCTTGAAGTCTGATGTTTTTGGAATTTTGACTATAGATTTACAATTCTGAACAGGTACGTTGAATGTGCAGTCATATCACTGTTTCTATTAGTAAACTGGAAGATCAGGCTATATAAAAGTGTTAGACTTTAAATAGAAAATTTAATCTACTGTATGCTTATGTTCTGAATAAGTGTGTGGTTGTTAGACCTATACAATAAAATGCATTATTCTGAGTCAAATTAGGTTATCATTTCTCCCAATCCATTTAAATATTCCTCAATAGTTTCAACCAGTCTCATTTTAGCTGAATTGTTTTTCACTAATATCTATATAATGTAACATCTTGTTGACTGTGGTCTATCTACTTTTAATACAATTCAAAGTTTTTTCAATCTCCTATCTAAAATCTGAGCAGTGAAGTTAAATAATGAAAGCACTCAAAAAAAGTCTAAAATCCCTTCTAACATACCTTCCGGGATATTTATTTTTTAAACTCTCCTATATGCCAGCACTCTACAATGCTGTTTCCCCCATCACAAATAAAATGCCTCTGTTCAGACATCTCTATCTATTTTTGCTCTAGCTTATTTATATTCATGTAAGCACGTTTCAAGAATTCACTCATTGTACTATATTAAGATGTCTTCTTAAATAATTTTTAACTTTCAATATTATTTTAATTTTCTCTTGTATTTAATTCAAATGGTGTCAGGCAAGTATTCCTAAACTTTCTGGACAATCAGTCCTCTTAGTCCTAAAATTTAGAGCCACTAGCCATTTCACCAAATTTAGTTGGGAACCATATGACTGATTAACTGACACGTGTTCATGTTTTTTGAGACACTGGTAGTCTGCATAGCACCATTTGAGGAGCAAAAATGTAAGAGGAACGTAGTCACTATCTACCAAAATAATAGGAGAGTCAAGGACTTTTGCTGAAATAACATTTCTGAGCTTTTTAAGGCAAGAACATTGAAACAAGAAAGTAAGAACTGTAGCTTGAACTTGCCGTTTTCAAAATAAACACAATCTGTTTTCAAAAGGAAAAGGTGCTGCTAAAGTAAAATTTCCCAAAAGTCCATATCTGCATTATTGGTTAAGCTAAAACTCCCACTGTCATGACAAACAGAGCAGAGCAGAGCAGAGAGGCCACCTAATAATATATTGTCGTTATTTACAGCAGTATGTTTTATACAAAAACACACAGAGGGCAACGTTCCACACAGATCTCTTCAGATGCTTCAAATGTCTTGAGATACACTGTGGTAACCAAATATCCCTAGGACTTCTTGAGATATGTAATTAGCTATCTGTGCGGTGTCCTCTTTGATAGATCTATAAATATTCCAGTTCTCTGTTTAAAATAAATGCAATATAGTTAATGTAGAATTTTTCATATATTCTCTATATGTTTGCAGGGGCAGTTTCATACCATCAGATTCCCAGTTTATTTGATGTCAAAAAGTCTAAATAAAACACTTAGGAACATGTTTGAGTTATTGGGATTGATCCAGCTAAACACTGAAACTCAGAAGACCACAGGGCTAAGAAAACTGAAGAAATCACTCACTATGATAACATCTGATTCCTGGTCCAGAAGGCCACTGTAAGCAGTCCACATCTGCTTCATGAATGTGGACTTTGCCCAGGCTCAGAGGGTCCCCACAAGAAAGCATCCAACCCTCTCCCTGCTCCGGTTCAGCCGGTTGTTTCTCCCCTGCCATGCCTGTTGGCATGGGGCAGCCCATGAGGGTAAAAGCCAAAAGGCCGGAAACCTCCAAGCTAGCCTTTCCCTGACTACGCAGGAGATATAACATATTCCGAAATGCAGGACAACCTGCAGACTCAGTTTAAGCTACTTCCAGGGTCTACCACTTGGCAGGCTTGAGCACTGCATATAATGCATATTGAGCCACTTGTTTGCACAAAACAGAGCATAGCTTAAAGGAATGCTTAAATTCCGATTTGTTTATTTGCTCTGCTGAGATTTCAGAATGGGTAGCCAAACTTGTTTTTTAACAACTTCTTGCAAGGTCATTGACTATAATGTAGGTTAGAGGAACTATGTGTCAAGGCTTTTACAGAAGGCTGCTTGCTAATTTTGCAGTCAACAGCTGAGGCTAAAGAGGTGAATTATTTCAGATGGGAAATGAGCTCATACCAAGGAAAATCTTTGCTTTTCTTCTAAAATGTCCTGTTGCTCTTCATATTAGATTAGTCTTTTCACGTATTAAATGAATGATACCTTCTATTAACCACCATACACCCTGAAAATGCTTTAATAAAAACAATGATTCACAAAGAACTATTAAATAAGTATCTTCTATAAACTGACCACATCAAACGCAGTGAATACATGGCAGTAGTGGTGATTAGTCTTCAAGTCTTTAGTGATGTACGCAAATGTAGAAAGGTCTTCAGGGTCTTGGGCAGCACAGGAAATGTTACGGATTTCATGTTCAGCAATAATATTCTGTTTAAAAAAAATATTTTCAATCAATTTAGGAATTAAATGTAGAAGAGCCTTAAAAGCTGTGTTTTCAGATTTGAGTGTATGTTCAGCTGCTGTGCGGAAGTATTTCAGAACTGTCTTATTAAGAAGAGATTTAACACTCCCCATGTGTGATCTTCCTACACAGATCACTGGAATTCTGACTCTCTCCAATGAGATCCACAATTGACGACAATCTGATAGAAAACTACTATACTCTAGAGTCTTCCTGCCTGTCTTTCAAATTACGGTTTTGTAAAGTTTATTCAGTAACCTGTGACAAAGAGGCATCTTTCCTAGCATACAGCCGTAACTACTATTTCAAAGCGCTGCATTAGCATCTTCTGATGCTGCTGGTTTTGCCTCTAGTGAGCACTACATGCTACTGTTTCAGTCTACTGATAGGATCTGGTAGAACCCCACAGGCTCAGTATCTAAGCATGCGCACATGGTGTTTGAAGAAACTGAGCTACTGTCTTTCAAGAAAAAATAACATTACTTATAATTTCAATTATAATTATAATTGAAACTCTGAGCTCTTAAAAGGCTTCTGCTTGGTAAAAAGATCACTACAGAAGGATGTGGCAGTTTTTCTCCACTTACTGACAAGAGCATCCTGTAAGAGAGATGTAGAAAAATTAAACTGTTCATGCACCGAGCAACACTACTTGCAGCAGCCAATGTAAGCTATAGCATACTATTGAGATAAAGGTGGAGAATGTCTGTCCAATGGAAGAAAAAAAGCTATCTAAAGCTTTGGAGAAAATTATGAATATTCATTACATATAATACTGATATGTAATTATTGTGTTTAGGCCAAAGGAACTATGAAGCCAGAGAGAAGAAGACACTGCATAGTGGCTTGCGATTAGGCCTTGATTCAGCAACACACACATTTCAAATGACTTATTTAAATAGCAGAATGATTCACTGAATATGAATTTCCTCAGAGGTGAGCTTATACACTTTTCTGAACTGTGGCCTTACTGACTGTAGCTATGGCTCTTCCCCAAAAAGCAAAGAGAACGAGCCTGCTGCAGTATGACACCTCTATTGCACCAAAGAGCACATGACATCTGTAAGTGTCACAGTCCCTGAGATCTGTGATTTGCTGTTGCCTTAGTGGCATCTGTTCAAGTTAAAACAATCCCTGAGCCTCTCTGTTTTTCCCTCACCCCTGTCTTTTCTTCCCCACCTTCTCTCCTCCCTCTCTTTTTTTGAAGAAAAGGAAATACATGCAACTAAGTCACTTAAGATGCTTTACCATATCTTCCTTCATTTGCTAAGTGGCAACTTTACCCCTTGTATGTAGGTGTCAAATTTTCTAGAAGACGTATTAATATCTAATTGAAGAAGTAATGGCTTAGGAAAATCTTTAAAAAAAGCGTTCCATACTTCAAACTGTGGAAAAACCAAGATAAGGAAACTGTTATTGAAGACATGACATAATCCTCTTAATCTGAAATCGATGCAACACATTTGATTATTTCTGTATAACGCATAAACGTGACAGAACTTATATTTCAAGGGATGCCTATATATAAAGATACTCTCTGCTAACAATCATTGGCTTTTTATGTTACCTTAAGCATTTTATTTTCTTTGTTCTCAGTCTGATAACTTTTACCCTCAATAAAGATTTGGATGAGAATTACAATTATACCAAAATCAGGGATTTAGATACCCACAGATATAGCTGTAATATATTATCATTGATGTGGTGCTCTTTACATTGTAGTTTAAAGAGGAGAAAGAATTAAAGCTTGGAGGGTCTTAAAATCATGCTAAATACTTATGCCAAATCAACAGCCAGAAAGTTGTCAATCGCTTTTATGCAGTGTATGTGAAAAGAGCTCAGCTATGTTGAAAAGTCTCCTAAATGATCAGGATATAGGGTTTTGTATTTTAGTCAGAACTTATGCAGATTATTTTAATGCTTTAACTTTGAATAATGTGAAGTTTGGAAACATACCCATATCAAGTTTTCTTTTGAATAAAATAAAGTGTACCTAAAATTAATCTTATGGTTGAAAACTAACAGTGAAATTGAGCTTTCACCCTAGCTTCTATGCAATATCCTCTGTGAACTCCTTTAAAAATTAATTATGTTTTCCATACATGCAGTTACTGTTTCATAAGGTCATTACTCCAGTAGAACCATCGTCTTATCCTGCAGAAATTAAAAGGCTATGAACTGGCTTGCTGTTCTGGGTACACCTAGGCATTGCCTGACAATATAAGAGCAGTTTAGGAGGTCACTCTAAAAATTGTCGCTCAGTTTGTCAAGAGGAACCTCCAGAGCTTCCGAAACAGCGGGGAAGGTATAAAGTCAGTTTTGGTTTTGCCAAGGAACTACCTTTGAGGGTTCCAATTTTTGATAAGCAGCCTACACTGCTTGCCTACATTGTGTCAGACAACCCTTCTTCTTGCAGAAATAGCCCAGAAGTTAGGGTTAGCTGTGACCAAGAGAAAATTCTGAATATCTGCTTTTTCTAGGCAGCAATTTCTTTCTGGCCTCAATTGCAAAGAAATGGTGTCATGTCAAAGTGGTGTCATGCCAAGCTTCAAGGCGCCACTGAAATAGCTTTAGTGGAATGAGGTCAGAGCCCCTTTGTTACCTGAAGCTTTGCCTGTTATAACTTGGAATACAAATTCTTAGCTTGGTGGCATAAAGTAAAAGGATGAACAGCCATGAGAGCTGAGTTTTCAAGCACATAACTGCTAGCTATTTTTGACATTAAAAAGTATACATTTATTGTTAAGTGGTGCCCAGTGCCATCAACTATAAGCTCATATGGAAGCAGTACAAGTCTGAATAGGATCTCACCTTAGTGCTAATCTGTTTTGGGTCTTGAAGGAATTGGGTACAGCATACTGTGGACAGGGATGATAACAATGCTCCTGGGACAGTTGCAGGCTATTACCTGGTTTTTACAGAAGGGAGAGGCAGTGCAGATTTTGAACTGAAGAGAAAGCAATCTACCACTTGAGAAACAAGACAGGACTGTGGCATTATTTAGCGTGATCAAATACATCCATGGTACTAAACGGTATATAGATATGAATGGGACAGGTCTAGAGCTACCTAATACAATTTACCAAACTTCCTTTGGAAGTTTCCTTCTCGTATAGATTCTACACACTACAGAAAGAGATGCTGGGAGCTCCTTTTGTTCTCTCTCTTTTTTTTTTTTAACCTAAGGACACTTCAGTTATGTCCTTTACACTACAGAGGAGATTTAAGAGCTGAAGACAGCCTTGTGCAAGTTAGAGTTAATAACATTAGAATGTCCTGATTTATGCCTGGCACACCAGAGAACATAAAGGAAATGAGGGAGGTAGAAGCTCAATTTTGAATCAATAGAAGAAAAAGGAGCTGACAGGAATCCCTGGCCTGTCTGCTCTAGCAAAGACGTCAGATTTGATGTAACAGTAATTTCACCTCTGCTTTTCTTTCATACCTTCTTCTAACCCTAGAAACCCTTCCAAATTGTAGCAGAAGATCACAAATCCACTTTTGTTCCTTCACTTAAAACCCAGTTCTAATTAAATACCTTTACAAACTGACTCATATGGCAAGTTTGAAGGATACTGGGTTAGATGTGTTGTGTGGTCTGAACGTTCAGCAACACAAAGTTGTTACATATATTATTAAAGTAGTCGGGTAGCTGGATTGCCTGATTTATGTTTTATATTGTTTAGTGAATTTTAGTTACATATCAGAAAAGATAATTTATTTTCTATGCATACGCAAGCATCAGGGTAGACTGCATTTTCTTGCCATCTTAGACATCAAAAGAAGAGAAACTTGTGTATTATTTTACTACTGCTTATGGAGCTTGTACGTTTTACTTTGGCTGACCAATAATCTATTGTCTCATCGGTCACTAAGTTCTCCCATCTTTTAATTTCTGCCTTTTTTTAAAGATTTTGGATGCACTTTAAAATGTTAAAAACAAAGAACAGGGGCAGTCCGGCAGCCCCGCACAGAAAAAAAAAAAAAAAAAAAAAAAAAACGGAATCACAATTGTGAAGAAGCTGCTGCAGTTCAGGAAGTCAAATATCCAGCACCAGGAAAATACCTCTGAGAGAGGCTCTTACATTTGAAAAGGACATTCAAACCTCATGTTTCTTATTTTTACTAATGGTTGGCCCTGAATAAAAACTTGCAACATTATTATTTGTTTAGAAATCTTTATATATATATATATATATTTTTTTTTTTTTTAGAAAAATGTATATTGATGAACAAACACATATATATATTTTCTGCAGACATAAGGCACTGCACAGGAAAGACTATGGTAAAGAATTCCACAGAGGTCCCTTGCCAAATGTCTTTTGTGATGAGCTGCCTTTTAATGGTAGAAGGCTGGACACAGTGTTTTCCAAAAGAGTCATCAAAGCTGCTTCACTTGTCCTCCAGACTGAGCTTCTGGAGAGTGACACTCAGATTACATCCATTTTGGAGAGAAGAGAAAAAAGAAAGGAAACACCAAGTGCAAATCTGATCCCTCTGTGGCTTGACGCTCTTACAGAGCTGACTTGTAAGCATTCCTGTTTCTAAGGGTATTCAGCAATTGCACATACCTTATTTGTGGCATCAATGAATTTGACTCCCTTGTAAGAGACAGACAGAACAATAGTTGGTACTTTCTTCATTTGTTCTGTAGACTTCTGAAATGAAATGAAGACACAGTTAGAGTTGTTTATGTTGCATCACAAGAAAAGCACTCTTTTTTTTCTTCTTCTTCTTCTGACAAAAATACATAAGTTAAACAAAAGGTACTTTTATAAATATTTGACTTTCTCTTGAGTTGACTGTGCTCTGGGCTTTTGAAATAGCTGCCTTATAGTTATGAAACTAAAAAGAGCTTTGCAGCTTGTTGAGAAGGAGGTTAAAAGTTCTCCATCATGGGAAGAGAATGAAATTAGTCTGCCAGAGTTACTTTAAGAGGCCAGTCACGTAATCAGGGATTTCCCTAAACAAGCAGGATTTAAACAGCTATCTCATACACCCCATTCATCTCTGCCTTGCTTCCCCTCTTCCTGCCCTCCCCAGCTATAAAGACGGAGAGTGTTACACTTTTTGTTGCACTTGTTTTTGTTGCACTGGTGTGATTAGTTGTGTTTTAGAAATATTTCACTCTCTCTCTTGCACTATTGCAGTTATGTTTGTGACATGAGACATGCCTGCAGGCTGTCAGTCTAATGGTGTACCTTGTGCTGTCTCACTGTCTGCACTTCCTTGAACATATTTCCTGCTGGAATCTGCTTTACACGAGAATTAGCATGGAGATTTATTCTGAATGACCTCAGTGCCAGGCTCTCTTACCTAACAGCTCATATCTTCTTAGAAGGCTATTTTTTTTTCTTTTCTATTCTACTCTACTTTCGGGTGCCTTTAATGTGATATTCACAGCTAAGGTATTTCCTGTGGAACAGATTGGGCAAATATTGGGGAAAGTTTTAAATTCTTCGCAGAAAAACTTTTGATTAGCTTACAGTTTGAATTTACTAACAAAAAAAACAAAAAAAGAACAAATATAGCATAATAGTTTATAGCTGATTTGAACTCTTTTAAGGTGGAATGCAATTAGGGATGAGACCATTCAACACGCAACTTCTGTAGCTAAATAATGTACGAAAGTTCAGAGAACACTCACTCGTGGTAAGATCTGCAAGCAGTCACAGAGATCTATCAAGCATTTTCTTGAGGGGAAAGCATAAGTTCAGCTACAGCTGAATATGAAGAAATAGCATGCAGAACAAGTGTGCAGGCACCTTGAAAGGTCTATAAATTGCAGTCTAGAAAGATCACTAAGCAGCTGAACAATAGTAGCAGCAGTGGTTTTGTATTCTTAAAGAGAAATAAAGCAGCAAAGATATAAACTTGAAAACAGGGGCTATATCTGAAAAAAGTATTTCTTGAAAAAAGGTAAGGTTAACACTAGAGAGCAAATAAACAAAAACTGAAAAGAGGAAAATTGTAATCAATTTCCCTAATCAGATCTTCTTCCTTCCAGATTCACATAGGATTGCATTTTTGCCGGCATAAAATTAAAAGCGACCTACCAAACTACATTCTGCAATTAATGCCCTGAGGGTTAAAACCTCTAAATAAGTTTCAAAGACAGCCCCACCAGTCTGTGTAATAGGAATGTTATGTTTCTTGGTATCAAATGGCAGGAGGCTCAGGAAGACACTCAAGTGTCAATTTATCCTGGAGAAAGCTTCTTTAACCAGAAGGCTAGCCACTTTTTAAAAATGAAAGCTTAAATGGTAAAACATTCTGAAGAATCTAACAAAACTTGAAGGAAGACACTGATCTGATGTGCCTGTCTCTGAGCTGGGTGAAAAAGAAATGGTATCCTTGTCAAATGCAGAGCAAGCAGAAACATATGTGTGTGTTCGTGCGTATGTGTCTCCAATAGATTTCAAATGACTCTTTTCATAAAATTCAATTTCAATGCACAGAAAGCATGAGAGTGACTGTACGGAAGATGCAGTACATACAGCCATTAGAATAACAAGTAATACACCCCGCATATGCTCATATCCAGACAAAATATGACAACATCGCTTTAATCATCTGGCAACCCTGCAATCATCCAACTTTTCTCCTTTCTTTCTAGCCCGACAGCTACATTCAGGAGCTCTTTGTCTCCCATTTTGATTATTGCAATTATCTCCTTTCTCGCTTCCCTTAGCAGCAAAATTCCTCTTCTCCTCCCATACTCTATAGAAATATGGCTACTAAGTTAATTTATTTTGCTTTTTGGTCCGGTTTGCACCATCTTCCGTTTGCCGTAAAGGTGAAACTTCAAGATGCAGGGCTATGTCGTACTAACCATTTAAGAGTCTGCTTTCATTCAGACTACTATTTTGTACTTTAAACAACTTCCTTATATGTACCACATTCATCTGGATTTGTCTAGGCAGACCTGATCTTTGGTATTTAATCTAGGTTGTGATTTGCTAGAAGAGCGTGTCTGAGTGAAATCACTCACTAAGATACTATTAAATCATATCTGGTAAATTAGGAGATGAATCAGAGACCGATGGGCATTTGTAGTTTATTAAGTCAAACTGTCTCAGCTGTTAGGGAACAATGAATGCATCTTATTAGCTTGCAAATGGCACAAAACCCAGGATTTGTGCAAGGCATTCTAGAAGAGCAGAGTCCAGTGCAGAAACATGATTTTGGAAAACAATTCTGCTCCACTGGAGCAAATGGTGGGACCTTGGTAAAGGATAGTTATATCATGAAGAACACCTGTCCATGTTCCCCCCACTCTATTTTCCCCCCACTTCACTCCCAATGACAGATCAACTCTCCTAAAGTCCACCACATAATTACAATGGTCCTAGCACTTTCCAGACTTCAGCGGTTTTGAGCTCTCATTGCGAACTCATACTATTTGCTTGTTCATTTCTTTTTAATGAAGGAATTGACTGCCAGGATCTGTAACATGAGTTTTCAGAGAATACCACAATACCAATACCATAAACTCAGGCACTGTAAATGCTTTGGCTCTAACTTCTAGGATGTTGACATAAAGTACTACAGCTTTCATGGTCAGATAGTTTGCACCTCTGGGCAGGCCAAGTGGTCATCTCTGCCTATGCCTGAGATCAGAATCTGCAAACAAGGTGGGACATGGGAGTCAGTACTTCATTTCCTTGTGTTTTCCAGGTTCTAGCCTCCATATCAACTCTGTGAGAACATGATGAGATGACAAAACATTCTCGCCCATTTGGTCTTTCTGGGGAGCATATGGACCCGAGCCAAAGCTCGCTAACCTGGAACTCATCATAGTTCCTATGAAATCCATTGTCTGTGACTGTAACTTTGTCTCTTTATTTTAATATAGTTCTTTAGCAGAATCATCTGGATGAACAGCAAGCATATTCTAGGCTCATTGCTATAGCTCGTCTCTGATCAGCTGGTCATCTACCTAAGGACAGATGTACATGTCCTGTCTCCTCAGGTGAAGAGCTGCTCCTGCTAAGAGCGGGGGGCTCTTAATGTGATGGAGAGTCTGAATAGCAGAGAGAAAGAAATTTGGTTCCACTGTTGAAATACTTCCTATGGGACAGGTAGATGACTATGTGGAAGTATGCCATATGTAACTCATGCATCATAAAGCAGGCTTGACTGCAGACATGGAAAGACAGAAGAAAGTGCTGCCATCCTAAATCCAATCTGACATTTGTTCAGCTTCCTCACACCCCGCAAAAAACACAGAGCCTCTTTTTCCTCAAAATAAAGACTATCAGGAATAGCAGCATCTCCCTGTATTTTGATGTTCAGCTCCTGTGATGAAGCTGCTTCTTTTTAGACTCTTGTGAGGAAAAAGAATAAACCCAAAAAGGATGAGGAGAAGAGAGAGTGAAAACCGAATAGGGTAGCTATGGACACCTGTGCAGTGACTCTTCAAGGCTAGTGGCAGGCTTTAAACTGATTTTCATAGGGCTCTTACTGCCCCACTAAACTTGCTCTGCTACTCTACCAAGTAATGTGGAAGAAATATAGAACAGGCCTGTACTTTAATTCAGTATTCCTGTAAAGTCAGTGGAGAGCAAAAAGCACTTTGAAAGGGAATGGGGTGTCTGATTTTCTTTTTCTCTCTAGTCAGCTTCTACACAAAAGTTTGTTTTCTGCATGGGTACTTAGAGCCAGCCCATCAGAAACACTCATCTGAACAAGCACCTGGCTCAAGGCTGTTTAATAGGTGCCTTCATCCACTCAGCATTGAGAACGGAGATCCATTTCTGTGGAAGGAGGTGGGAGGCATCTTCTGCATAGTTGCCTTGTCATTACAGTGCTTGCCCCAAAAGTAAAGGTCTGGATTTCAGACTTTTGCAGCTGAACCCACTGCTTCTGTTATGCAGGACAGTGCCAAAATCTCTTATCGCCCTGGACAGGGCTGCTCTCCCAGTTTCTCTTTTTGAAACTGGTCCATTATGCAGAAAAGGGATGCAAGAGCAGTGGGGCCACAGAGAGAGTGAGAGAGCAAGCTCGGTCACAGGGATATTTCTCTGAGAAAGAGAGCAGTCCAGGGGTCTAGTCATTGCTTCCAACCCACTTTATGAATTTTCTTTAATTCACTGAAAAAAGCCCCATGCTCACAAGCAAACTCTTAATAAATTTCCATAGTACAAAAAATTGCCCTAAGTCAGTGAAGCACTTCCACTTGTATTTTGATTTTCATCTAAAGGCTGTACAGAACTGTTAGTTGTTTAATTAGAATACAAACTAAACTGCAAATAATTTCATTTGAGACCCACCAAGCCATTGTACCTTCCAAAGTCTAATGTTGGCTTAAGAGGCCGGGGACTTTGTTCTATGAATGTAGAAATATAAACTAGCTGTTTACTCTTAAAAGGAAATACATGCAAATACAAAACATATAACCCTAAAGGGCCTTTAATCCTTTCAAGATATGATTGTACTTCAATAATTGTTCAGTGCAGAACTGAGAACACTAATCCTGATTAACACTTTTGAATACTCCTGCAGTATATAAAATGTGATAGCTCTGTGCACATACATACACACAAAGCAGCTTAAGAGGAAATTCGGAAGTATGCACAGAATGGTGTCCAGGTGAAGTGCTCATATATTCCTTTGCTATACTGTAGCATATGGTGTAATCCAGCCCACTCTCAAAATG